TGGGGTGTGTGGTGTGGGGTGGCAGGGAGCACAATTCACTTGCCAGCCCCTCAGGACAGAGTCGACTCCGTGTCCCCCTCCCTTAGCCTAGGTGAAACCTGGCTTTAGGGCCTAAAGGCAAATTGAGGGACTGGTTCTCCAGGTGTCATGTGTGTGGGCTGCCCAGGCCCATGGCTGCTGTTGCCCTGGGGGCAGGGCAGGAGCCCTCAGCCAGCCACAGAGGCCTGGTATATGCCCCGCCCCTGAGCCCGCAGTGGGTGTGGCCTCTGCCCTGGAGTCGGGAGTCATCCCCTTTGTCCTTCCTCGCCCTGGGAGGGCCGCTGGGATGGGGCAGGCCCTCCGCCAGGCGGGCCGGTGGGCACCTGGGCGGGCGAATCCGTCAACTCCCGCGGGAGGCCAGGTGAGGGCAGGAACCAGTGAGTAGCCATATCAACCTCCTCAGGGAGGCTCCTTCCCGTCCTCTGAGGCCGCCCTTCCTCGGAGTCCACGCCCCCGCGGCCAGTTACGTGTTCTGCGTGCTCCCGCCTCTCTGACTCCGGTAAAGGTCCTGGGCCCCTGCGAGCTACCTCTCAGCTGCTGCCCGCGCCAGGTGAGGGGTCGCGGCTCCCGGCGCGTGGTGTCTCCCTCGGGGTGTGCGCTTTGGGGAGGACGGGGCAGGCGAGCGATTGGCGCTCAATTCAGTGCGGGGAAGGGTGGCAGGTCGGACGCTGAGCGGCCTAGGCTGGCGGCGGCGGCAACGGTGGCTGTCTCTGTTGGGTTCTCTGCCACCAGCCGGAGCCGGTCGGTGCCCCGGCGGAGAGACGGGCAGTCGGGCTCCCTGGCCTCGGGGCCACCCCAACTGGGGCACCTGGGGCAGAGGGACCCGATATCTGCTCACGCCCAGGTGCCCGCAGCTCATTCTCGGGAGGATTCGCCAGCGGTGACTGCTGAGAGCCAGTCGCTGTTGTCCAAGGCGAACCGGCAGGCCAAGCATCAGCCCTGGGCCGAACGTGAGGCAAAGAGCCACCGAGGGAGGAGAAGGCTGCGGCCACCACCAGCGCGGGGGCGCGGGGAGAGCCGTCGTCTGACGTGGTGCCGGCACGCAGCGTACCCCAGGAGGCTGTCCTCGTGAGGCCCCTGGCGCTGCATCTGGCGCACAAGGTGCATGGGCCCGGGGCCCCTTCAGCGGGGAACCGTCACCGCGGTCGCCGCAGTAGCTATTGCCGCCGTTGCTGCGGATCCGTTGGCCGAGGACGCCCGGGAGCAGGCAGCAGCTGACCCTAAGGAGAAGTGGCAGCTGCCGCCGCTGCCGCGGAAGGAAAATCCCTGGAACAAAAAGGCTACCCAGCACCTGTCCCCAGCCAGGACAGGTCCGCCGCCGCCAGCGCTGGAAACCCTGGAGTCAGAGTTCGGTTCCCTCAAAATTATAAAAGCAGGAAAACTTAAGACAAATTCAACAAGGCTAGTGATTTCAACGTTATGGAGAATTGGCCAACACCAAGTGAATTAGTGAACACTGGATGTCAGAGCGTCCTCAGCCAAGGAAATAAAAAGCCACAAAATAGAAAAGAAAAAGAAGAGAAGGTTGAAAAGAGAAGTAAAAGAGCAAACAAAACCAGAAAACAAAATTAAATGGTCCTGGTGAAAATGTCAGTGAGGTTGAGGCTCAGTCAAGTAATCAACAAAAGACAGCTAATAAGCACAAGTGGGTGCCACTCAGATGATGTAAGACCAGAGAGTCAAGAAAGACCTGAATCCTGTCAACCTGAAGTAAGTAAATCAACACATAACAATAGAAGAAACGATACATGACGTTAGAGGCGAGATAGAGAAAAAAGAGATGATCAAGATGAAGTTTCCAATGTGAGAAGTGAGGGTGGTAATATCCGAGGTTCCTTTACAGGCCCAGGAAGAGACTGAGGATGGGGAAGAGGAGGAGGCAGAGGAAATCCTCGATTGAACTTTATTTATTTGGTTATCAAGAACATGGTGAAAGGAATGATCAACCATTTCAAACAAAACTTAATACCAGTATGATGTATTACTGTGATGATGGTACAGGTGTATGGGTGTATCCTGTGGAAGAAGCATTGGTTAAAGAGTACATGAAGTGTCAAATTGAAAATTACTTCAATGTAGAAAATTTTGAACGAGACTACTTTCTTTGAGGAAAGATGGATGAACAAAGTTTCTTGCCTATTTCCCTGATTGCTGGTTTTCAACGTGTTCAGGCTCTCACTACAAACCTCATCTCATCTCTTAGAGGCACTGAAGGATGGCATAGAAGTAGAAATTGTGAATGAGAAAAAAGATAGAACCAGAAAAGTGGCCAATTCCAGGCCTTCCTCCTTGCAATGTGCCACAAACAGATTTCTCTCAACTGATTGATTGTCCAGAGTTTGTACCAGGCTGAGCCTTTTGCTCACATTCAGAGTCTGCCCACAATTCTCCAAGAATTGGAAGCCCATTGAACCCAAAGAAAAATACTGAAACAAGTATTCTTCAAACAACGTCTAGAGGGTTGTCTGCCGGTTTGCCTCACTTGGACTCAGAACCTCGGATAGAAGTAAAAAAGAGACATCAGCCAGCCCCAGTGAAATTGAGGGAATCAGTCTCTGTGCCTGAAGGATCATTAAATCAGCTGTGTTCTTCAGAAGAAACAGAACAAGAAGAACTTGATTTGTTGTTTGATGAAGATATTGAACAAATAGGATGAAAAAAACACATTAACTGATTGGTCTGATAATGATTCAGATTATGAAATTGATGACCAAGACTTAAACAAGATTTTGATTGTAACTCAGAAACCATGTTATGTGAAAGAACATCCTGGAGGAGATCAAAGAGGCAACCACATGTCTCAGGTAAAAATTATGTCTGAACTTGCTAAAGTTATCAATGATGGCTTATATTATTAGGAACAGGATCTATGGTTGGAAAACATGAAAACAAACACACAGCCATAAAGATGAAAATACTAAGAACACCCTTTCTCATATAAAAAGATAAAAACAAGTTACTATGGGGGGAAAAAAAAGTCTTTCCAACCTGCTGAATCAAAAGAAAGGTTTAACTCAGTGAGATGAATCTACACATTGCAAAGCATTTTCTCAGATAACTTCTTTCTAGTTTTTATCAAAGGATATTATTTTTCACTGTGGGCCTCAATGGGCTCCCAAATATCTCTACTCAGATTCTACAGAAAGAGCATATCCAACCTGATGAATCCAAACAAAGTTTTAATTCTGTGAGGTGAATTCAAACATTGCAAAGTGTTTTCGCAGACAGCTTCTTTCTAGTTTTTATCGCAGGACATTGGTATTTCACTAAGGGTCTCAGTGGGCTCCCAAATGTCCCTGTGCAAATTCTACAGAAAGAGTTTTCCCAAACTGCTGAATCAAAAGAAAGCTTTAACTCTATGAGATGAATCCACACATTACAAAGCATTTTCACATATAGATTCTTTCTAGTTTTTATTGCAGGATATTCGGTTTTTCACTATAGGCTTCAATGGGCTCTGAAATAACCCAGTGCAGATTCTACAAAAAAAGTGTTTACAACTTTTTGAATAATAATAAAATAATGTTTAATTCTGTTAGATTAACCTACACATCATAAAGCATTTTTACTGAAAGCTCTTTTCCAGTTTTCATTGTAGGATATCAGTTTTTCATTATAGGTCTCAGTGGCTACCAAATAACCCTGTGCATGCAGATTCTACAAAAACAAAACAAAACAGACTGTTTACAGCCTTCTAAATTAAATGAAAGGTTTCACTGTCTGAGTTGAATCAGGACATCGCAAAGCATTTTCACAGAGAGCTTTTATCTAGTTTTTATTGCGGGATATTGATGTTTCACTATAGGCCTCAATGGGCTCCCAAATATCCCTGTGCAGATTCTACAAAGAAAGTTTTTCCAACCTGCTGAGTCAAAAGAAAGGTTTAACTCTGTGAGATGAATCCACACTTTGCAAAGCGTTTTCACAGATAGCTTCTTTCTAGTTTTTATTGTGGGATATTTGTTTTTTCACTATATGCCTCAATGGGCTCCCAAATAACCTTGTGCAGATTGTACAAAAAAAAAAGTGTGCAATTTACTGAAACAAAAGTTTATCTCTGTGAGATGAGTCCACACGTTGCAAAGCTTTTTCACAGATAACTTCTTTCTTGTTTTTATGGCAGGATAATTGTTTTTAACTAGACGCAACAATGGGCTCCCAAATGTCCCTTTGCAGGTTATACAAAAAATGTGTTTCCAACATGTGGAATCAAAAGAAAGGTTTAACTCTGCGAGGTGAATCCACACTTGGCAAAGGGTTTTCACAGATAGGTTCTTTCCAGTTTTTATCATGGGATATTTGGTTTTTCAATATAGGCCTCAATGGGCTCACTAAGGTACCTTCACAGATTCTACAAAGAAAGTGTTTCCAACTTGCTGAAACAAAGGTTTATCTCTGTAAGCTGAATCCACACATTGCAAAGCTTTTTCACAGATAGCTTGTGTTTTATCGGGAGAACCCTCTCCCGATGTTTAACGTGGGTTCTTTTCTATTTCCTAAGTGTCTCAGCTGGGTTGAAAAATAAAGGGAAAGAGCACAAGAGAGAGAAATTTAAAGCTGGGTGTCTGGGGGAGACATCACATGTCAGCAGGATCCATGATGTTCCCCGAGCCAGCAAGTTTTTATTGGCAATTTTCAAAAGGGGAGGGAGTGCACAAATAGGGTGTGGGTCACAGAGATCACATACTTCACAAGGTAATAAAATATAACAAAGCAAATGGAGTCAGGGTGAGCTCACAGGACCACCGGATGAGGTGAAATTAAAATTGCTAATGAAGTTTCTGGCACGCATTATCATTGATAACATCTTATCAGGAAACAGGGTTTGAGAGCAGATAACCTATCTGACCACAATTTATTAGGTGGGAATTTTTGTTCACCTGATAAGCCTGGGAGCACTGTAGGAGACTGGTGCTTATTTCATCCCTTCGGCTTTGACCACAAAAGACGGGACACCTTAAAAAGGGTCATATATAGGTCTACCTTCAGGGCACATTCTCTTTCTCAGGGATGTTCTTTGCTGAGAAAAAGAATTCAGCGATATTTCTCCTATTTGCTTATGAAAGAGGAGGAATATAGCTCTGTTCCATCCGGCTCACTGCTGGCCAGTTCAAGATTACCTCTCTTGTTCCCTGAACATCGCTGTTATCCTGTTCTTTTTTTAAGATGCCCAGATTTCATATTGTTCAAACACACATGCTCTACAAACAATTTGTTCAGTTGATAAAGTCACAGGGTCCTGAGACGACATTCATCCTCCTCAGCTTACAAAGAAGATGATGGGATTAAGAGATTAAATACACACAGACATAGGAAATCACAAGGATATTCATTGGAGAAGTGATAAGTGTCCATGAAATCTTCACAATTTATGTTCAGAGATTACAGTAAAGACAGGTGTAAGAAATTATAAAAGTATTAATTTGGGGAATTAATACATGTTCATGAAATCTTCACGATTTATGTTCTTCTGCCACGGCTTCAGCCGGTCCCTCCGTTTGGGGTCCCTGACTCCCCACAACAATGTTTAGTTTTTATCACAGGTTATTCTGTTTTTCACTATAGTTCTCAATGGGCTCCCAAATAACCCTGCGCAGATTCTGCAGTAAAACTGTTTCCAACCTGCTGAATCAAAAGAAAGGTTTAACTCTGTGAGATGAATCCACACATCTTACAGCATTTTCACAGATAGTTTCTTTCTAGTTTTTATTGTGGAATATCAGTTTTTCACTATAGGCCTCAATGGCTCCCAAATGTCACTGTGCAGATTCTACAGGAAGTTTGTTTCCAATCTGCTGAATCAAAAGAAAGGTTTAACTCTGTGAGATGAGTCTACATATCACAAGTGTTTTCACAGATAGCTTCTTTCTAGTTTTTATCACGGGATATTTGGTTTTTCATTATAGGCCTCAATGGCCTCCCAAACATACCTTCGCAAAGTCCACAAAAAAAGTCTTTCCAATTTACTGAAACAAAAGAAAGGTTTATCTCTGTGGGATGAATCCACATATCACAAACGGTTTTCGCAGATAGCTTGTGTTTAGTTTTTATCGCAGGATATTCGTTTTTTTACTACAGGCCTCAGTGGGCTCCCAAATGTCCCTGCGCAGATTCTACAGAGTGTTTTCAACCTACTGAAACAAAAGAAAGGCTTAACTCTTCAGGAATCTACACATCACATAGCATTTTCAAAGTTCGTTTCTTTCTGTTTTTTTATCGCAGGATATTGGTTTTTTCACTATATATCTTAATGGGCTCCCAAATGTCCCTGCGCAGATTCTACAGAGTGTTTTCAACCTACTGAAACAAAAGAAAGGCTTAACTCTTCAGGAATCTACACATCACATAGCATTTTCAAAGTTCGTTTCTTTCTGTTTTTTTATCGCAGGATATTGGTTTTTTCACTATATATCTTAATGGGCTCCCAAATGTCCCTGCAGAGATTCTACAAAAAGAGTGTTTCCAATCTGCTGAATCAAAAGAAAGGTTTAACTCTGTGAGATGTATCCACACATCGCAAAGCATTTTCACAAATAGCTTCTTTCTAGTTTTTATAACGGATTATTCGGTTTTTCACTATAGGTCTCAATGGGCTCCCAAATAACCCTGCGCAGATTCTACAAAAAACGTGCTTCCAACCTGCTAAATCAAAAGAAAGGTTAAACTCTGTGAGATTAATTTTCATATCGCAAAGAGTTTTCACATATAACTTCATTTTAGTTTTTATCGCAGGATATTGGTTTTTCACTATAAGCCTCAAAATGGGCTCCCAAATGTTCCTGCGCAGATTCTGCAGAAAGTATGCTTCTAACCAGCTGAATCAAAAGAAAGGTTTAACTCTGAGATGAATCCACACATCGCAAGGCGTTTTCACAGATAGCTTGTGTTTAATTTTCATCGCGGGATATTCAGTTTTTCCCTATAGGCTTCAATGGGCTCCCAAATAACCCTGAGGAAGTTCTAAAAAAAAAAAAAAAGTTTCTAACCTGCTGAATTAACAGAGACATTTAACTCTGTGAGATGAACCCACGCGTCGCAAAGCATTTTCACAAATAGCTTCTTTTTTTTTTTTTTTAATGAGATACTCTGGTTTTCACTATAGACTTCAGTTGGCTCCCAAATGTCCTTTTGCAGATCTACAAAAAGATTGTTTCCAACCTGCTGAATCAAAAGATGAACCTTTTTTTTCTTTTAATGTATTAGGAAGTTTTGAGTTATTAATAATAGACCTGCATAATTTCTCTTTTAAAATCAGAAATACTTTAAACATTAAAAGTATAATAAAAATTGAGGAATATACTTAAAACTTAAAATGAATTGAATTTATGTCTTGAAGATTTGTAGAACAAGCATATTACTAAAGAGTTGCTAGTTGAGCAGACTATTCTGCCCTTAACAACAGTTTAGCTACTTACAAACATAAATGCTATATAAATTTAACATTTTATTTAATAGAATTACTTCATGTTTTTGAAAAGAATGAAGATATTTTTAAAAGCTTCAACAATTTTTCAATTTTATCATGAGATGTTTTGTATTTTATATTTTATTTTATTTTCCCAACTGATCCATGTGATATTGATTGCCATTCTCATTTTAAAAATAAGGAAACAGAGTAGATAATATAACATGTACAATATCATGGAAATTCTATGTGTGAGAACAGATTTTCATACCTAACTCTGATGGGTTCCAAGGCTCTATATACTTAAAATTCCCTCTGCTTCTTAATTATGGTGTTTAGATTTTAATTGTGAATTAAATCTTGGACATTCACTATGTAGTAAAGATTCTGAACAAAGAAACTCAGTTTTCTTCCTTATTAATCTTCAAATTCCTGAGTTTAATGAAAATTAAAAAGAATATAGAGTTTATTTATGATATAGGGATTGGCAGAGTATCATTCTTAAGTACTTGATATTTTTGTAATGCTGTATTCAC